AATTTAATGTCTTTTAGAAGAATTGCTTAATTCATACCTCGTTTCCGGCATAAGCTGTGAAAAACAAAACTTTCTTTTACATACTTAAATAATGTTGCTAAACATATTTGAAACATTTTTCTACCAAATATTTTTTTTTCATTGCGTAAAAAAGAAAAAAACAATTTGCAGTCACTAATCTGCGTCGGGTCATGGATGATGACCATCTCATCCTTTTCCGAGCTCGTGCGGGCCACTCCTGGCCAGCCAGGGCCCAATAGCATAGGCTATCGCTACCGCTGCTTCTCTTTTTCTTTGTGTGTTCTTTCTTCTCAAAATGCTAACAAAATATTTACCAAGTTACAAAAAAAAAAAAAAAAAAAAAAAAAAAAAAAAAAAAAAAAAAAACGTAATAAAAGAGGATGAAAAAGAAGAAAATATCTTGTTACCTATAACAATTATTTCTCGTAAAAAAGTCCATTTTTAGCCAATGAGATAGATAGATATAGATATATAATACAGTGCTATCAAAATATGTATTAATGTGTTTTAAAATCAATGCAGTAAACAGTTTGGTGTTATGGCAATAATTTAGATAATCTATTACTTGATATTGGTTTGAAAATATACAGAACAGGCAAAGAAAATAAAAAATACGTGGTTAATGCAAATATAAGTATAATAAGGAGTTTTTTTCCGATCTGTACAAGTCTTGTACATATATACAAATATACTGCATAAGCAAATTTTCTAGTCTTCCCTCGTTTCTTTAAAAAGTTTGATATCTATATTATGTAGCTTAATATCGTGATTTAAGTTTAGTAATTTATACAGTTAAAGTATATATAAACAGTGTTATTTATAAAACAGTATTTTAAAATTGTGTAACATTTAATTACGCGTTTGAGTTTGGTTTGAACTAAAAAGAGATCAAACAAATTTTAACTTCAAAAAAAAAATGATAGAAAGAATATTACATTACATTACAAAATCGCTATTTAAAATTCTATTAAAATAAATAAATAAAAAGTATTTTTCAGAAGAAAATAATCGAAGAAAGCTCATGGTAATAATATTTTTATTTCATAATCTCGTCAAAATTAGTAATGATTATATTTATGAACTTAATACTTTTAATTTGAATGATGGAAATTTTTATTTTAGTAATTCATTTAAACAAAAAAAAAATTCTTATTGCGTTAGTTCCAATTCACATTGTTTTTATGATGCATTTCTTTTAAATATTAAAAAGAATATTTTGAAAGAAAACTACCGAAAAGAAAGAGAACTAATAAAAATTACTCATTTGGAAATCAATTAAAACTGCAATACATGTGCTGCCATCTATAGGAACGTTAGCTCTTTATTGTTTTGAAAATTATTATTGATTTGCTTTTCCCTTTTATATACTTATAGGCAGTNCAATGATACTTGTGTTGGCTCGACTATGTGACTTTTATTTTTTTTAAACTTATATCTTCATTCTGTTGGTGTAATTAAGAGCATTGAGTTTTTGTATTGATTTTGAAATATTTGAATTTTAGTATTGATTTTGAAATATTTGAATTTTAATATTGATTTTGAAGTATTTGAATTTTAGTATTGATTTTAAAATATTTATTACTAGTATGTATTTTTTTAAACTATACCAAATTGTGCTTAATTTTTATTCTTATGAAATACATTACATAATGTACCATACAAAAATCAAACACTAAGCATCAGAAATATTTTTTGTAGCATTTAACGTAATGTCAAAGGTAAAGAATGGAGAAGTTATTCGAAAACATAAGTTTAATTCGGAATTTTTATTTTAAATATTTTAACTATAAAGAAAGAATATATTTTCAATGAAGAAATTCCGTATATTTAAATGTAAATTAAATATACGAAATAGTAAATTACGAAATACTAAGTTAATATATTTAAATGAGAAATGTTTGTTTCTGTCGGACAATATGGAACTCAATTGATTTTTGGCATTGAATTTGCACTTAAATTGTTGAAACTTCTTAAGATGCTTTTTTCAAACGTTACTTGGAGAATTTCTGCAGGTATATGGCATTCACTTTACGTATATAACTATTATAGTTATAAGTAGTCATTCATTTATAGAAAAAATATGCTGTAATAACTTGGAAAGTCGCTCTATAAAGAAGTTTTGACTCTCTATGGGAAATGATCACTAGGGGGAGTCACATTTAAAATCATGAGATTGGCCTTATAATTGTTATCTGGAGTTGTTTGTGTTAAATTAAAGTATATTATTTTGCAACCATTTTTGAACACCCGACACAATTTAGTTGAACACGACAGCTTATGTTCAGGACGACGGAGTTGAACACGACAGCTTATTTTCAACTCCGTAGCCTTGTAATTTTGAACCCAATTCAGAGGACAAAATGTGGGAGAAATTTGCGTGGGGGGACTTTTTGATTAAACTATCACGCATTTGCGTTGTATGGAGGGAAAAACCACAAAAACCTCCCATGATTAGCCTGACGGCAAGGGGACTGTTACCCATGATTCTACCACTGAGGATATTTTACGTCAGCACTGTGGTCGGTGCGAGCCGGAGGCGGTTGATCAAATACCGAAATATTGATCAAATAAATTCCTTATTTCCTTATAGAAAACGAGGTAACAGGGCAAGCTCTAAATTCAATTAAATGTAAAATTTCGCAAGAAATCTGAAAAACTTGAAAAGTTACAATAAACAAGTTATTTTGAATACTCCAGAAATATAATAAATGTTGAACTTCAGATATTAGGAACTCTTTATATTGTACAATTGTACAATGTTATTTCTATTGTACGAAAACGATGAACCATTTTAAGTTTGTAAAGTTCCGGGTTTTTGATTCCTGGGGAAAATCTATATATTGGAACCATATATTGGATTCTCATAGCCATATATTTGAACGAAACCGCAATGTTCGATAATTTTGCAATCAAAATAGATTAGAGAGGTCGGGGGGGGGGAGGCTGCCCCAGGTATCCAATCTTAAGGACACTGACATTACTATTTTTGTTATGAACTTCATAATTATAAAGGTATTGCTACATTTATTATGAAATTAATATTTAATCGCTAAATATTTTGTTCAATCAAAATACATTACGAAAAATAAATTTTAATTTTTAGAGAAATTTAAAAATGAAATTTATTAATTAATTTAAAATTATGACTAAAATGTTTTTTTTTTCATCTAGAAAAAATTTAATAACATTATTCAAAAAAAGAAGTTCATTTAATTTTTTACCTCAGAACAATTTCCCTCTGCATACATAAAAAGGACTGAAAATATTTCATCAAGTAACTTTTTCATTAGAACATAATTTTTTCCCCCCATTCGCAGCGATTAAACTCCTCTTTCAAACCAAAGATTTCCCCTCGGACTCCCTAACACCACTGCATGTCGCGGTTACAAATTTTGCTTAAAACAGATCCATAGCCTAAATTTCTATTCAGGGTGGCACCCTCTCTTTGCTTGTGGTGGTCACTCTACCGTAAATACGGTGACATCAGATATATTTTAACTGGTAACTTTTTGATTAAGATTTATTTCATGCATTTGATACATCATCGATATTTGTTTATTAAATATTAGTATAATAATATATAATTAAATTTGCATTTCATATTAACTAGTATAAATATTAACTTTATTAGATAAGAGTTAATTTTTTAAAATTCCTTATGAATCTTCTAAAATCTTCTATTGAGGCAAACGACACTGTTAGGTGGGACTCAGCCCTACCAGTCCCTTCCGCTGCGAGCCTTGTTTAAAAAGTAAAAAAGAAATTTTCAATTATTTCTTGGAATTGAACGAAATAATTCAAATCTAGGCTACATCAAAATTTTTTCTCCATTGTTTACCATTTAAGTAAAAATAATAAAAAGAATAAATAAATAAAATATAAATGACAAAAAGTAAATAAAACACAAATTAAAAAATGAAATATAAATCAGAAAATAAAATATAAATGAAAATAAATAAATTAATTAAAATGCATAAATTTATGAATAAAACAGATATCAGATTTTTGCAAACAAAGAAGTAAGGATTTGATATTAAAAAACTGACAAAAGGAACATAAAACAAGATGATAGAATTCTTCGATATTATTTTAGTTTGAAAGTTGTCAATTTTCAATTCTATTAAATTGTAAAATGTTATTGCTGAGCAGGTATTATTGTATTTCAAAGATGACGTTTTCAAAAATAGTTTTGCTACAGAGTTCTATTTTCATAATAAAAAGTTAACAAAAACATAATTTGTTTAATTAAAGAAAGAAGAAAGTGTCTTAAGAGAAGTATCTAAAGCACAAAGTAACATATCATAACAAAATACTAAATCAAAAAGGGGAGTATCAGAAATCTAAAATAATATGATCAAAATTATATATCTCTTATTATTAATAATTGAAGAAATATTTTTTCCCAAATATGATTTTTTTACTTATATTTTGAAGTTTAAAATAAGCAGCAGCTTAATCGGTATAACAATTTTTTTATTGATTTTATTAAAGATAAAATTACATTTGTATGAATATTAATTTATTTCAATACATTCAAATTAATTTATATTAATTATGTGGTTAATGACGCCATTTATAAATCACATATTTAAATTCAGAATGTCAAAATTCCGACATGAACGTCACACTATTAATAATTAAACTTCTTTAGTAATTCTAGGAAAACTTTTACATGGGTTATTTTCATTTGGACACTGTTGCTACAGTTGGATCATCTCTCATAAATTTACTACTAATTATAAATTTGTACATTTACTATAAATTAGTTTAATGCACTGAAATTAGTTGAAACATTAATAAAATTGCGAAGAAGAAAACAGCATTATAATATGATCAATTTAATACTTTATCTAAAAAATTTCTTACCTGTAGTTTCTCTAAGTAGTTTCTTACTTTAAATAAAGAAATTAAATTGGGTCACTTTTTGAAGGAGGAGTGGCTTGTTTACATCCACTGCTCATTTGTTTACACTAAGACACTGAATATTACTTATTCCTGCATCGTAATTAGGCGGAACACGTTTTGAAGGAGGAGCTACAGTTTCTAAACCAATCAGAACGAAGAACCCAAGGCGAAAGATTTCTGATAGAGTTTGACTGACAGGAGGGCGCCACTGTAGATTATTAGTGTGTTTGAATTCAAGACTGACGAGAAATAGTGAGCATTTTCAAAAATTGTTGAATCCAATTTCGTATTGCTATTATTTAATATTTTCGATAAAAATATTTTCATTTTGAAAATAAAGTTAAAATTCTTATTTTGCAAAAGATGCAAATACTTGAAAAGGATTTGATTATTCTAAATTAATTACAAAGTTCTTAATAAGTATTCAAAGTTCTTAATAAGAATATAAGAAATGAAAAAAATTTCTCTCAGAATATTTAAAATAATTTTTTAAAGTTTATTATTTTCCTGCGCAATTTTCATAAATTTAATTAATTAATCCACAATCATGGAGATGAGAACAACAACAACACTATATTTTTATGATATCTACCAAATTAAATAATCAAAAGATTTTCATTACTACTATTTAGGCGTTCTTAATGTACTTTATAACGTTTAATTTAATAAATATTTATCAAATTTGAAATACAGAACAAAATTTTTAAGTAATTATAAATATATTTATAAAAAGTCGAAGAATCTTTGAAAAGTATTCGAATATTTAGAATTCAAAGAATATTTGAAGAATAATGGAAAAATATTCAAATAGAAATTCAATGTAATGTTAATTAAAATTTTTGATATACTGTGTTTTGATATTTACAGTATTATTTGTAAAATTTCAATTACTAATTGCTTTTCATTAAGAATTGCTATACGATGTTTAAAACGATTATTTCATTTCCTTTAAAATTAAAGAGTTGCTTTGATTAAATTTCTTTTAAAAATATCCTTTCATCTCATTACGTTTCGTATGAAATTTTAATGTGAAAGCGTATACGTTGCCGATTTAAAAATGAATGAGCATTACAATTTATTTAAAAACAATAATGTTTCTCTTAAATCTTTCAGTTTTGTTAATTTAGTTACAAAATGCAGTAAATTTAACGCTAAGTTACAAGAGATTCGTTAAATTTTAACGCTAAGCATATATGAGAAAAATATTTTTTTAAGTCTCATAGTTTCTAAAATTAAGTTTCATAGTTTCAACATTAGTCACATTAAGTCTCATAGTTTCAAAATTAAAGTTTTAATTTTATTTTACTTAGTGCAGCATAGATTATAATAATAAAAAAAGCGCAATGTTATTAATTAATAATTATTTTAAAAAATTTCATAGAAATTAATCTAAATTGTAAAAATAATTTGGGATTTTAATATTTTATTGTAAGTTTCAAATTAAGTATAATATGATGCAACCTTACTAACATTCAATAAAAAATTTCAAAAAAAAATAAATAAATAAAAAAAAAAATGGCAAGTGCACTTCTAAAAGGTGTACTATGATGTAAATTTAACAAATTAAAAATAGTCAAATTATATTCCGAAATTGTGTAATTGTACCAAAACTATTTGCTCTTTAGTAAAAATTAAAGCTAATTATTATAATACTCACATTTCATGAAGAGTTGGTCGAAATTTTTGCGATTTTTTTTTCTTTAAAAAATTTTCAAAATGCCATCATAAGAGGTTTATTTTTATTACGTGGTTTTAATAATGACAACATATTTGAATTAAAATTAATTCATGTTTCAAAAGTATGTTTCCATACCCGACCACTAAATATGAAACAGATAAATTAATAGAAGTTTCGTAATACGAGTAGCCATTTCAGATTGGAGCGAATCATAAGTGAACGAAAGTCGATTAGAGAGCTATTAAATTTTATTGGTAACTTTATTTCTGTTTGTATTTTTCCAATGGAGCCTGACGTACATTTATGACCGTTTATCTATGCCTAAACGTTAATAAAACTAATGCGGTACGTCATCATGCCGTAAATAAAATTGATTAAGTAGAGCTCGTGATCGCGTCTTTTTACGACGGTGACAACTCTAATCCTGTCGTGTCATTATGCTTGTAAACGTAAATAATAACAATTTGTGCAGTACAATCTGAATTATCTTCATAACAAAAATATAGGATATACATTATTTTTTTTTAATTCACGAGAAAATCTCTATTTTAAAATACTTTTAAAACTTTTACGCCCTTTAGTTGTAGAATTAAATAAGAACAATTTTTGAGCAATTATGAATAAGAACGATTTTTGAACAATTATGAATTTTTTATCATCCCCGAAAAATAAGAAAATTTCGCAATTCTTTCTGATTGATGAGAAAAAATTCAATACTGTTGTGCCATTTGTGGAAAATGAAATGTATAAATTGATTAATTATTAAATATTGACAATGATAATGTAATAATGTTCATTACTAATAATGTATTCATGATAAGAAAATGCTCATTAATTTTGATAAATAGAAGGGGAAATATATATCTATATGTTTTAATATTTTTGTTGCGTCATTTGATTGTAAATATAATGTGAAACCAAAATAAATGAATTTATATTGAGGTAAAAAATAAATGTTTAGAATTCTCTTAATTAATGTTATTGTAAGTGAAATATTTTTAACTAACAAAAAAAAAATAACTGGGAATTAACTCAATCAACCATCTGAATTAACTAAATTAGCAATAACCTTCAATTTTGTAAGCACAAATTAAAGAAATTAAGAGAGAAGTACATGACAAAATAAGTGCACATTTTTACGACAAAACGTGTACATCTACAATAATCCAATTCTAAAATAATGTTCGAATTGATAAAGACAATTTAATATCTTTATAATATTTCAAAAACAAAATTTTATTTTCTATAATGGGGGAAATTTTTTCTGTGCACATGCATTAAAAAAAAAAATTCAGATTGCATCATAATGTAAATAAAAAGAACTCAAATTTTTAAATGAATAATATATTTATATAATCTTGTTCATTGTTAATTTGAAATTAGAATAACCCTCAACTTTTGATGTTTTTACTTGCATCATTTTGTAATAGAAACAAAGCATGTATTTTTTCTTTGTTTTGTTTAGGAAGGAAAAGAACATATTGTTAGAAAAAGTTAAATTAATGGAGTTTGAAATGATGTTTAATTTAATAACAATGATATCATCTCTTCGGTAATTTTACCTCCTCGTTAAAGTTTAAAGAGATACTATTGTTAATTAAATATTTCTAAAAGAGAAGCGGTATTTTTTTGTTTAATTTGCTGTCAAATATTTAGAAGACAATCGACTTGATTGTGCATGACAATTTACTATAAGTTGACGTGATGGATATGTGTAATCTCTTTAACAATCTCAGATGACTAGAGAACATCAAAATATATTAATATGATGCTTAAGCTTTGAATTAGTTAAACAAAAAATCAACCCTAAGTTTATCTCACATGGTAGAGGCATTATGAAATTCCACTGTTATCTCCTCAATTTTAAGTCAGCACTTATCGCAAGAGTTTACTGTAAATGAGTGCTTTTGTTTATGCACGGATGAAACAGAATATAAATTTTCAAAAGTAAGAGTACAGATTTATTCTGTTTAGTAAAAATACGCATAGGATACTGATAGTGTTTCCGAGTACATACTGTAATAAATCCTGAGTCAAATTACGGTAATCAATGAACCGGTCAGAGAAAATACGGCTCAATTAATCGTAAAATCGATTTTTACTGGAATATGTTATTGAATGAAAAATATACGGTGAATTTCACAATAATAATTACTGTAAAATCATTGAATCACTCTAAAAATATCACTCTAATTAAATAAATATCACTGTAAAAATTACCATGCAGTATTTTACAGTAAAAATGGATTCCATGGTAAAATTAATTTTACGGAGGACCGAACCCAAAGTACAAAATACCGTAATTTGATCCAGAATGTTTTGCAGTGTAATTTATTCTTGTTGCTTTTATTCAGGTAGCTTTTTTTCAAGAAAAATATAGCCTTTCACAAGACTTTGCTTGCTATTCTAAAGAGTAAAGTTAGAACAAAGAAATGTATCGAAGCTTAAAATAACGTTTACAAAAAATTAATTCATAATTATTCCGTAATTTGATCCGGAATATTTTACGGTGAACAAAAATATCATTAAAAAACATTTTCCTATATTTTTTGAAGTGTCATTTAAATGGACAAAAAATTACTAATTGAATTTTGAAAATCTTAACGGATATTTAATGAGGAAAACAGGCTTGAAATAAAGCACAAATCTTTTAGTTGAAGTTAGATTTAAGCCAATTAAAAATGCTTCTTAAAATTTTTATGTTATTAAAGACACATTGTCTTGCTCGTTTCAATTGTTCTAACTAAAAGAACGCAATAAGAAAGCCTCTATAATTAAAGCAACAAATAAATTTGATTTGGCACTTTTAATTAGATTTTTGAGCGTGCCCTATGATTGTTTTCCTAAACCTTATTTAAATTATTATCCGAGAACGTTGAATATGAAACATTAGTTTTCTAAAGAGAATTGTATTTTTTTGGAACCTTATTCATAAATAATAGTAATTATATCTTATAATTAATGAAATATATTTTTTAAATTACGTAAATTTAACAAATAATTAAAATTTTTATTCTTTTTTATTAGTATGAATTGAATTAAAATTTCATATAATCGCTGTTAGTCTTCGTAATTAATATGAATGCGATTAGGTTTACAAAGATTCGTTACCTTAAATTCGTTTAAAATCTCAATTGATTTAAATTTAATATTTTACTTCAAATTTGCCTTCAATAAATCTTTTTGTATTAAAAAACATTATCAAAAAGTATAATTCTGCCGGGGAAAAAATAGTTTCATAATTCTTTTGTAATTTTTTTTGTATAGACAAATGTTTTTTAATATATTATCAATATCATCTTTCGTAATCAATATATCATTCGCAAGATAAATTCTTTCAAATAATGGTGTAAAAATTCTAAATATTTTGAAGGATTGTATTTATTTTTATACAAACAAAATTATTTCATTTTTAAATGATACTATGTGATCAAAATTTTGGAATTCAATGTAATAAATGCATTCATTGTATTGCATGAAATATTACTGATAGTTGAAAAAAATTTTAAATCTTCTAATTATTTTAATATATAAAACGAAAAAATTAAATACGTGATTTATATTACACTAACGAGATTTTGTAATTCAATTTACGAAATATTTTGCTAAGATAAAAGCCTGCAAATGGTTTTGCAAAAATTCTGTTTTTGTTGCTAAAAAAATAAAAGTAAAATTTTTAAATGAATAAATGATATTATATTATGCTATTGAAATTTTGTAATTCAAATAACGGAACGATATAGTAAATAATTGACTCCAAGAAAAAACTATTATACAATAAATTTAATTATGGAACAAATATGAATTAATTTTAATTTACTTCAGAAGTTACAGCAATATTGTTTCAACAGAAAGTTCTACGTAACGAAAATATTTTAAAAAATGCATTAAAATTAAGTGCAATGATTTAAAATGAATTCTTTTTCCACTGGAATAAATCACAAAATAATTTGGGCTTTTTGTTTTAGTCTCTATAACTTGCAAGGAATTTAAATTTGTAATAATTCAATGACAACTAATTCCGTTTAATTAGATAAATAATAGTTTACAAGTTGTTTTTCTTGCAGTTCTGGTGGACCTCTTACTTAATTTAAATTAAATTCAATTTTCTATGATGTTTATAATTTCGACAAATTATTTTACGACAGTCTTTAAGGACATAAAATTATTAGTACTTCATATTTTCATCTGAATTCCAATTTTGTATTAACTAGTGTATGTCATTACTGTAAAATTGATTGTAGCCATTGCTTTAATTTAATTAGATTCAAACAATTATATAATCAATTTCAGATAAATACCAATTTTGTTTTAATTGAAACAAAACTAAATTAAACTAATTCACCACAACATATTAATATTACTTTTTTTCATATGCTGAGCCAATTATAAATCTTAGTTTTCATATATAGTCAATTTTATTTTAACATTATCATGATTACAACAAAATGATTTGTATTATTTGTTTCAGTTTTCATTCATTTTAACAGTTATAACAATAAATTTAATAAAAATAAATTTATATTTTATTAAAAATAGATTTTGCTTCAATTAAAAATAAATTTTGTTTTAATTAAAAATAGATTTTGTTTTAATTAAAAATGATAAAGTAATTTATTTCCTATAAATCCAAAAGTTTAAATTTTTATTTTTGATTTTAAAAAAATGTGTTTTTTAACGGAAACATATCATAAGCAGAGAATAATAAGGATTATTTGCTTCAGTTTCTAAGAATCTAAACAATTATAAATTATTCTTTTCAGTTAACATAAAAACTTGTTAACTAAAGCTTACATAAAATAGTTTGTGGCATTGTTTGGAGTCTTATGAACAACAAATAAACAACTTGAATTGAAAAACCATTTAGACGTTACATTTATTTTAATTGAAACATATGCCACAAAGTGATTTGCACAATTTGCTCAGTTTCTACAAATTTAAACCATAAGTGAAACAGAATAAAATAATTTACTTTTTCCGCTTCGATTTTAATGTATAATAATCTTAAGAAAATTAATTGCTACTTAAACGAGAAATTTATTGTAACTGGAACGCAAATCACAAGGCGGTTTGTATTTGTTCAGTTTATAAATAAGTGTAAATTCAAACAATTATACACTTTCATTTTCAAATAAGACGAATTCGCTTTAACTGAAAATGCACAGCAATTTCAATTATTTATTTCAGCTTTTTCGAAAGCAAGTAATTAAAAACTTTCATTTACAATAGTAAAATTTGTTTTAAATGAAACATCATAAAATAATGTGAGTTAAATAATTTCAGTTCCCATTAAATCAAACAACTAAAAATTTTCATATTCATTTAAAATTTAAATTTAAATGAAAAGTAAATTGTACTATCAATTTCAAGTTCCTATTTCCCTTCACGCTAAAAATTTATTTTAAGTGTAACTCCATAAAATAATTTTTAACTTTTGTTTTCATTCTCATTCATTTAAAAAAAAATACTAACTTTAATTTTATCTAAAAGACCAATTTGTTCTAACCGAAACACCATGAAATATTTTTTTTATTATTTATTTCAATTCACACGAATTTAAACAATTATAATTTAAATTTATAAGTGAAATGTGTTTTGCTTCATTTTCTATGAGTTCAAACAATGTTTTCATTTTAAACAGAAATTAAAATTTATTTTATCTTAATCAAATCATTGCCACTAAGTAATTTACATGATCTGTTCCAGTTTCAAATTTCCTAAACAAGTGCAGCCATTTTCCATGGGAAATCATTCGTAACGGTAAAACAAAACGACACACGGAAGCAGCAGCCAAATGTCAAAAACTGTTTTGAAATACCAAAAACTATATCAGTGTTGAGACGCATTTTCAAAGGAGCTATTTTAAACTGCCATTAGCTACGGAATAGAACAAAAGAATTATCCACTTACCTCTCTGAAAATTATCGTCTGCTGTTGTTGAGAATCGGCCGCCATCTTGGACGTGATGCGCGTCTTCAGTGATATGCAGCGACAACGGAGGTTAAAAGCTCTACTGAAGAAGAATTTTAATGGCCGGCCGCAGTGGCGGAGAGAAGATTGCCCCAGAGTTTGAGAAGTAAGTGACGGGGGTTTAATTATATTTTACGTTCCCGAATTAGGGCTATACTGTTAGTATTCAACGTCGAATCGGAGCTCTTCCATAAAAATAAAAATCGTCTGCATTGGGGGTGGGGGGCGCTGTGATGTCGCTTTTTTGAAGAGGGAAAGAAATGCTTATCTCCAGCCAAAGAATTTATCTTCTACTCAGAATTGAGGGGCCGGAATTAGGGTTTTAATGCACTGAAACACATGAAGCTAAACGCTTGTCTGTCTATTTTATCTTTGTTTCAATTTAAGGAAATTGATAGCATGAAAAAACCACGTTATGTTCAGCATCTCTTAGTCTTGATATATATATCAAAAATTATTAAGAATTTTATCGTAATCAAATAGCTTCTAAACATTGAGCTTTTAATTAACGAATAAAAGTGATGCTTTTTTGGTTGCGATTGAACTTTATCCGTTTCAAAATACTTGAAAATCGAAACAATAGAAAATTATTGATCGGATAAATTATAAAAAATATGCTAATATAATAAAAATCAGTATTTATGTTTATTTAGTTCATTAGAAATTGTTTTTTAAGTCCTTAAATAGAACAATGAAATCAGAAGCTATATAGCTATAAACATCTATATCAGAAGCTATATATATATATATAAACATCAATAGCAGAAGCTATGCACAAGCTAAAAACATAGCTACAAACACGATTCTATCCGAAAAAAGTAGTGCTTTCTGATATTGTATTAATATAGCTAAAGCAAAACATATCAATACAATAGTTTGAGGAGCATTAAAAATATTAAACGAAAATTGAACCCATTGAGCAAAAAATGCAAACTAAAAATAAAAAATGCAAAACAAAACAATCAAGCAATTATTGATCATAAAAATTCAAGGAAATACAGAATAAAACTCAAAATGTAATATATAAAGCTAGTATCGAATTCAAATGGACTTAAACTTATAGGCATTTTTCAAAAATGATGTAAAATGTTTTCGTAACAAGTTTGATAAAATACACAATATTAAAACAGAAGCGTAAATAGAGGATGAAGGAAATCAACTAATGGCCCATTCGTACTGAAGTACAGAAGCGCGTTTGATTTGTTAATTACCTTGGATTGGCCCGAATCTGGATGTGCGTAAGGTAATACTAATACTATACTGGATAATTCAAAGTTTATAAATAATTAGGTTGAATTTTATTAAAAAAATTTTAATATTAATAGGGTTGAATTTAGAGAAATAATTAACATTTAATGAAAAAAAAAATATTTAAAAAGAAAAAAAATTATTTTAAACTACACTTTTAAAAAATTATTATAAAAAGTCCTTTATTGATAATGAAACATTTTTAGCCATTTAAAAATCTAAATTTAGTTAACAAACAAGTTTTTAATTATAGCATACAATTAGCTCAATGATTTTATATAGAAATTAATTACATCAGTTGGATATCTATTGTTTTTCTTTTCTTTAATTTAATTTTGAAAGAGTTCGTCGATTTCTTTTTTCGATAAAAGAAACGTTACTACCAATTCTTTTAATTCTATTCATTTGATCAAAATTGTTATTTAAATAAATGCTTTTTGAAACATTAGAATTTTATGTAATTAGTTTATTTATTTAAATTTGAAATCATTTCTTTCATCTTATAAATCAACAATGAAGATATTTTCTTCTTTTTTATTTCTTAAATACAAAATATTTAAATTAGTATTATCGTCATGATTACGAATTAAGATTAATTCCTCTGGGTAAATATTATTCACCAACATTGCATAATTTTAAAAATTAAAGATAATTAAATCATCAATAAAGCAAAAAAACAAATTTAAAATTAAGAGTATAATTTCTTTCATAATGGTGAAAAAATAAATTAGTTATTAATAATTAGATCATTGTGGTATTCCATCAATTTCAGCAAAAATATGTTTTCCATTGTAAAAATGATTATTAAGAAGACAAAAATTAATTAAAATTTACCAACAATCAAAATTGCAACTAAGGATATTTTCATAATCTTAGTAATAGCTCAAAAAAACATCTTTTAGTTTAAAAAGGGAAATGCGATTAAAGAGATTTTAAAAATCAAAAGTCGCAATAGAACTAATTTTATTTTGCTTAATAAATTCTAAAATAGGTTGATTATTTGTGATTTTCCAAGAAAACCCTTCTTTAATAATATTGTTTAATAATTTTATTAAAATAGTTTGAGTAAATGGTGGCATGTTTAGTTAGGTATGATTTAGACCCACAATAAATGATTGCTCTAAGTTTAAAATTTTAACTTTATGTTAATATATATATATATATATATATATATATGATGTCTTTGGTAAATGTCCGAAATATATACTAGGTCTAGTCAAATGTCACTGCCTGGTACACATTTGCCCGGTATGCCCTACATCAATGTTTTTTTAATTCCTTGCCCAGTATGCATTTAACCGGTACTCCGGGCACTGATTGTTCTCCTAATCTATCCTAAGCAGGTATGAAAATATTGAATAAATATAATAATATCAACGAATGAATTAATACCAAATAGGATATAACAAATATTTCGGACATTCGCCCAGTGTGATTGTTGACATTCACGATTGAAAGTCAACATTCTCTTGATTTCGGTCATACGCGGTAACACATACACACACAATACCGTATTTCACTTAAGTTTGTATATCTTGGGTGGCCATTGCAATAGCTTAGAAGATTATTGAAATACTTAATCTTTACTTTTTTTTTCACGCACAAAAATATTTTTACATTTTTGATAAAATCCAACAAGATTTGATTTTGGAAACAAGAATTTTTAGTACTTTCCTTTTTTTCCCAATGGAAAGAAATATTTATATTTCGTTTCTTTGCGAACAAGAATTCCTTATATTTTATTCACAAATAATATTTTTTAATATTTTCCTTTTGATTCTCACAGAAAAGAATTCTTTACTTTTATTTTTATTTATTTATTGTTACTTAAGAATTGGAATTCAATTTGTGTCACATCTAGTAGATCTAAATAATATATTCCACATAGCTTATATATTCTATGTGCCTCTGCGAATCCAATTTTTCTTTCGTTTAAAAGTTTCACATCTCTGAATATCATTAAAAGGACGTGTGAGGCCTGTTCTTTTGATTTTATGTAAGTAGAATTTCTCATTACAGTTTCCTCGAAATTCGTTGGTGTGACTAGCAGAAGTTTGATATCCAATATGCCAAGATGGAAATATATATTTTCTTCAGAAGCTCATACAAATTAGAAATTTTATTAAACTCTGTTGACGCCTTGATTAACAACGTAGAAATCGTCCAAATTTCAACGTAAGTGTCAACGTAAGTCGAGTCCAAATTACTGCACTTAGGTATAAAACTTCAAAACTTTTACGCTCAAAGAATTCACCTTTGAGATAAAAGTTTGTAACTAACAGCATAACAATTAAAAAAATATCATCGATTATGTTTTTCAGCAACACTAAAATAGTTATATATTAATTAAAAAGAGCAATCGTGTTTTCAGGTTTAGAGTGTTCTTATATTTTTATTCGTAACATATTTGATAATATTTTCGAAACAGGAGCTTGGAAATAGCGCATTATTTAAAAAAGTCCTTTTTATATTTTTATTTAGTAATTCAAGTATATTTTTTTAATCGAATTTCCGGAACAACTAATCTACAGAATAAAAAAATTAGTCAATACAATAAATATTGTTATATTACATTTTAAATTGTAGTTAAATTGCTTTTACAATTTAGATTATATTAATAAAAATACATTTTAAACACAAATTGTTATTCTTCTTTGAATATAGAAAATTTTGTTTTATTCATCCGATTTATAATTCCATTTCTCATCATCAACTTATGTATATTCAGTTTATACCAGTGTATACTGTAATTATTTTACTGCGTATACTGTAATTACTTATATACAGTGTATACTGTAATTACTTATATACAGTGTATACTGTAATTACTTATATACAGTGTGTACTGTAAATACTTATATACAGTGTATACCGTAATTGCCTATATACAGTGTATACTGTAATTTAATTGCAGTTAAGGAGTATACTTTAACTACTTATATACTGTGTATACTGTAATTTAATTACAGTTAAGGTGTATACTGTAATTAAAGTCACGTCAGTTTCGAACACATTTGATTTTATAGAGAATGAAATCAGAAGCTATATAGCTATAAACATCTATATCAGAAGCTATATATATATATATAAACATCAATAGCAGAAGCTATGCACAAGCTAAAAACATAGCTACAAACACGATTCTATCCGAAAAAAGTAGTGCTTTCTGATATTGTATTAATATAGCTAAAGCAAAACATATCAATACAATAGTTTGAGGAGCATCAAAANTAATCAGAAGTATTTTTTTTTTTCATAATTGTCACTAACAAGCATTACGGTATTATTGCCTGAAATCTATTTTTCTCCAGACAATAAAAGCTAAATTGATAACCAAATTTATATTTGGTTTTTACTGAATCTACATTTGACATTTTAATTAAACACGAGCTACGTTTTTTTTTAAATTTGTTTTAGGGGCTTTTAAATATGAACTTATTTATATGATTAGAGAAATTTGGAATTTAAGATTCAACATAAATTGAAAGTTTATAAAAGTTTTTTTTTTTTTTAAATTTCTTAATTTCTTTTTCTTTGCTTTTAAGGTCATTTTAAAATATATAATGTTTTTTGTCTTCGATTAAAATTTATTTACCTTATTTAAATAGTAATGATTATTGACATTGAATTATAATATGCATTTCGCAACTCTTTTTTTTAATTCATAAGCAGTTTCCGTTTGGATTCCTTTACACTACCAGTCTCTTAATTTTTGAACTTTCATCTTACAATTTAATCCCCACCAGTAACTTTGTTCATTTTTGTTTGCAGGAGACACTATGAAATTTCTTACTCATAAACTTTCTAATTTTGAGAAAGTAGAAGATTTCAAACATTCAAATAAGAAAAAGAAGTTTT